AAAACCCTGCAAACTCCTGTTTCTGTCTTTAATATAGTAGTATTGGGTTATACAATAGAATAATGATCTTATGAGCCATGTTTCATTAATTCCTCAATTATATTTTCCCAACAAAACTCAGGTGCTCAGGTGGTGATGTGAGTGATGGTGAGTGGCTGTAAACACAGACGAAGCTTCGCTTGCTGGTCTGCTGCTCACCTCCTGCTGGGAGGCCCCTGGTTTCTAAGTTTCATGGAATACAATTTTTCCAAGGACCAGGTGGGGGATGGAGTGGAGCTCTGCACCTGGCCCCTAACAGACGATGGACCAGTACCAGGGAAAGGGGGGAGGTTGGGGACAGCAGGTTTAGAAGAAATAACTTAAGTACTCTACAGTTAAGAAAGCAGTCATCTAAAGGAGGAAGTTTGGAAAGGCAATAGTAACTACACCTTAGAGTTGGGGGATTAGATAGCTGTGAAGAAAATAGTTTTGATTGAGATCTTTACAGAGAGCTTATCAGAAGTGTTCTTCTTTTTAGGGACCCAAAGATTTTTCCACAGCTCCACCTCCAGACAATATTCTCCTCTCACTGTGTATACAGTACCTGGGTGAGCTTATCCATCTCTATAACTTTAACACTACCAGTGCTGATGTCTCAAACATTTCTACCATTAGTCCAAACCTCTCCACTTTTGACCTATGTACCCAAAATTTCACTAACACATGTACCTGGATGTCCTCAAGCAATGGTATTAATATTAATTGTATATATTCAACCCTGAAAGCATTGACTGACACCAATACTTTTTTTCCCTAGAAAAATGGTTCTCCATCATACAAGTGACTTGCAAGACTATTCAACAGAGACCCCAACCAGACATATGAGACTCATTCTTGAGTCTTCTCTCTCTCTCTCTGTCTCATTCATTGTGTCAACTAGTTATTAATGCTTATCAATCCTACCTCTTTTTCCTCATTTTTCCCTCTTCATTTCCCGAATGTGAAACCTGAACTCTTTCTGTAGCTTCCCAACACATGCCACTGTTTTCACTTGTATATCACACTAATCCATCCACCAAACTGTGAATGGATTATTCTTTCAATAAAAGAAATTTCAACATACTACTTCCCAGCTGAAAACCCCTTTATTTGCAGAATAAAAATAACTGTGAATAATATTTGCCATTTAATATACGTTAGGTTGCATCACATACATAGCCTATTCTCATTTTAAGGATATATCTATAATCTTCATAAAACTTTAAGAATTCACATTAGGATGTTTAATTTTTTCTGGTACTTTAAACATTTCTAAATCTTGTATAAATATTTCAAACATGTAATAATAAAAATGTTGGTCCCATTCAGAAAATGATACATAAATATATATATTATTTGAGATCAAATAAGATAATGAAGGTAAAGCACTAACCTAGTGCATGGCTTAATCAATATTAATTTCATCCCCACTCTAAAGAAAAAGGAGAATTCTTACATAGGTTGTGGTAAATGAAGCTAATATCAATTTCATATAATGATGGCCTATTTAATCCATAACCGATTCACTTCATATTAAAGACTTTCAGAGTTTCGTGGAGGCTGCAAATTATAAAGGGTTTATTTGGGAACCGAAACACTCAAGATGCAGGTGGTTAATTTACTTGAAACTAAGTTTTCCCAAATTACCAACAATAAAGATACAGTACTCAAAGTTAGAAGTGGTTATACTTCCTGGAAACTAATGGTATTCTTCAGGATTTGACTGAGGAATTAACTTTCTATATGGAACAACTAGAAGACACACCTTTGCCTGAATTTCTAGCTAAGTGGTTTAAAAATGGTAGATATATTTAGATGCTCGACCTGAAAAGCGCAGTTATTAGGTAAAGTGTAAATCACTTTCTGTATGAAAAGCCATTCTGCTTCGACAGAAGTAGTAAAAGACTAGATTTTAACCACAGGAATGAAGTCTTTGCTGGTCTCAGGCACAAAGTGTGATGATAGCTGATTAAGATATATGCTCTGGAGATTAACCTGAGGACAAATCTAAGAAAGGATCCAAGAAGAATGACTAAGAATGACAAATGGCATCTTATTAGAGGCACGACTTAACCCTGTGCCTCTCAAAGCAAAGCAATTAGGTGTCACCATTTTTTTCCTTAGGTTTATGCAAGGAACACACTAAATTTTTAGTGTGAATATTGCTTTGTCCATTGTATTCTTTTCAAAAAGATAGAGATCAACTGAATGGTGATACAAAACAGGATTCCAGAAAATTAGCTATAGCTCATTAGAAAGTGAACCAAGCTTTTAATTGACCTTATATTGATAACATTTTTAAAAAACAAAATTAATTAAATGCATTTTTTCTAAGTATGTGCTACTTTCATAACAATCAGGATACAGAAAATAAATGGAATTTTCCCTGAAATTGGCTGTGATATGGCCCTGAAATACGAGCTTTAACTTAGAAACGAAAATAAAAATTCAGAAAATTCCTATATCAATTTAAACAAGTAGAATGAAGACATTAAGCAAAACAAATAAGGACAAATGGAAACTTACCAATATCTATTGAAAAACATTATCTTTCTTTAAAATATTAAAAATGGATGGGAGAAATGTAAATAAAAACTATATTCCTATATGATAATGATTATTTGTGGTTCTATGGCATGAACTTACACAAAAACTCTCTTGTTTTTTACTCAAGTCTAATACCTCAGTTTTAATGAATTTTAAAGAATTCCTTTCCTTCTTAAACATTTTCCAAATTATGTTATGTAACTTGATATATATTCACCATACTTTTAGCCCTCTTCTGGCTTGATTTCTCTATACTTTTAACTCATTTCTTTCTTTCTCTCCTTTCCTTCCTTCCTTCCTTCCTTCCTTCCTTCCTTCCTTCTTCCTTCCTCTTCCTTCCTTCCTTCCTTCCTTCCTTCCTTCCTTCCTTCCTTCCTTCCTTTCTCCTTCCTTCTCTTCCTCTCTCTCCCTCCCTCCCTCCCTCTCCTTCCTTCCTTTCTTTCTTCTCTTTCGAGCAAGTCTTGTTCTGTTGCCCCTACGGTTGCTACAGGCGCCCGTGGCACGTAGCATCATCATATCATCATAGCTCACTGCAACCTCAAACTCCTGGCCTCAGGTGATCCTCCTGCCTCAGCCTCCCAAGCAGCTGGTACTACAGGCTGCCACCACACTTGGCTAATTTCTTCTATTTTTAGTAGAGACAGGGTTTCCTTCTTGCTCAGGCTGGTCTCGAATTCCTGGCCTTAAGAGATTCTCCTGCCTCAGCTTTCCAGAGTGCTAGGATTACAGGCATGAACTATGCCCGGCCAATTTTTATCTCATTTCTTTTATATGCTTCTTCAGCTTTAGGATTGTGGGCAGGACAGAGATAGCATCATGAATTAAAATACATAATCCAGATACTGATAAAGGCTATGAAAAAAATTAAAGCAGAGTAATGGAATCAACAGCAAATGCAAAGTGGCAGAAGATTTTTCTATTTAAATAGGCTTGTCAGGAGTAGCCCCTTTTGTGGAGGTAAATCTGGAGCACATTACACAATAAAGCAGGGGGCAGATAATCAGCAAAGGTCTGTCTTCTGAGTAGAGGGAATAGCAAGTCCAAAGCCCGCAGAGGAGGAACAATCTTGGAATGTTTGAGGCAGATCAAAGCAGCCAGCATTGCTAGAGTCATACAAGAAGACAGAGAGAATAAGGAGACAGAACTGAAGATGCGGCGGTGGAGGGCTTTGCAGGCATGGTACAGAATATCAATCTTATTCTGTACGAGAAAGGCATTCAGGGTTTAAAGGCAGGTTAGTGACCTAATCTGATCTATGTTTTTAAATGACACTCTGGCAAGAAGGGAAAGGAGCAGACTGGCTAGGGAGATATTCCAGTCTACCTGACATACAGTGGTAGCCTGTATGAGACGGCCTTCAGTACAGATTTGAAAAGTAACTGGGTTTGGGATATATTTGCAACACACTGGCAAGCAAACTTCAGGATGGGTTATATTTGGAGTGTAGGGGGAAGAGAAGAATCAAAGTTGACACCTAGATTTTTATTTGACAAACTGGATAAATGGACATTTTATCCATTGGTTGTGATGGAAAAGTTTGAGGGTGGAGCAGGTTGAAGGTGTGGAAAATCAAGAGTTTTGTTCTGGGTAAATGAGGCTGAGGTGCCTTTTCGATATTCAAGACAAGAAATTATATAATCATGTTGATATATGAGAATGGACAGGGCAAGAGATATAAATTAGGGCATCACTGATGTATTAATTGTATTTTTTCCTCTTATACAGAAACATCTAAATAATTATCTAATTTTTACTTTTTATCTATACATTAATTAAAAATATTTTCTTCTGTCTTTTAATTTTACTTCAGATTACATTACATTCTTTTCCTTTCTTTGAAAAAACTACATTATTTCTGGGACCGTACACATAAATCTGATTATTGCACATGATTGAATAGGCATAATGCATAAGATTCTTAACTAGATTTTTAAAAGGTGGGTTATATTCCTTTCTAAAGAATTTACTTCCCTTACTTCCTTTTGCTATTTTTTACCACTTGTTCCCCAAAAAGCAGGAAATGAAGACAATGCATTAGCACCTCAAATCAAATGCTATAATATAACAAGCAGGAGTTATTTTTTGCTTAGTATAGTGATTTTTTGGAAGATAGGCACCATTTCAAGTCACAGAAAGTTACATGTGATGGCAATTTATTATTCTCCCGGCTCCTAGGACTGGTTGAGGTAATATGTATTACAAATCGGCCTTGACATCAAATTTACGAATTTGTAGAGAAAATAAGATATCTACATGTCAAGCAATATGAGAACAAGAAAACAATATAAATTATATATATATATATACACTAGTACTATAATTGATTTAAAAAGACAGAAATTATGATGATGCTGGCTTTTAAGCAATAAAACCATATCCAGACGTGTGCGGTGACTAGAACCATAATGTGAAACCCGTATCTGAGCACGACTTACCAAGGGGTTGGCCCGCGATGATCCTGGCGTTCTCTCCAGCCACTGCAGCTCTCGCGTGCCGCTCACTCATGTACTGTACAAACGCATAACCTTTGTGAACGGAGCATCCAACTATCTTTCCATACTTTGAAAAAATGGCTTCAATGTCGACTTTCTTGACAATGGCTGTATTTAGATTGCCAATGAAGACACGAGAGTTGATGGACTTGGGGTCATTCTTATTGGTGACATTGCTGGTCTGCGTTTTGCCAGTCATGGTTGGCTCACTGTGTTTTAATCCTTAAACAGACAAACAAACAAAAAAAACAAATAATCAAAAGGTAAATAAATAGGTTGAATGAATATCAGTGGTTTTTTAACAGTTTTTCAATATTATACTCAGGAAACCTCGAATCCCTAAGTATTACTGACTTTCTTGGGAAGAAAATTTAGTGACATAAAAGGCAAACATTGCATTGCTAAATACAGTATAAAAATGCTCATCATCACGTAATATACAGTTATAAATAAATTCTTGGTTTGTTTATTCAAAATTCAACCCTGAATAATGACTGAATATTTTCTAATTGTTTTTATTTATAAGTCTATTTTGCAGAAGAAAGTTTGAGGAATAATTCACTTTATTCTATCAACAAGAAAGAAAATCCAATGTGGCAACGGTCTGATGATAGATAGCAATGCAATAGAGATAGAGACAGCAATGCAATCTCCGTTTACTGTTTGAGTGCATGCATGTTCATTTCTACATGTTCTATAATAGATAGATACATTGCCTATTTCAGTATCAGGACCTTTTATATCAGAAATTAACAATTCATTCCATTAAAGGCTGTGAAAGAGAAAAACTGTATTAAAATAAGACATTCAATTAGAAAATTTAACATAAGAAAAACATAATTTTGAAAATAAGAGATTTAACAAAAATTAGTACTGTGCATGCTATTTATGTGAACCAACAGCATATATCCCTTTCAAGAAAAGCATGTGTAACCAGTGTTCATCAATGATCAGCAAATTAGTAGACTGGGTAAGTGTTGAAAGTTTATTCTCAACCTCTTTTTTTAATCCATTTAACTAACGGCTCCTATGTTGCCTAAGGACTGCTAGTATTTTTAAAAACCATTTTTTGAGCTTGGAAGAATGTTTAATTTTGCTTAATTAACCTCAATGAAGCTTTTATTTCTAAGTATTCCAGCACTTACAGATTTATTTTTAAGACCTTAAAAATGCATTCATTAATTTATTCGACAATATTTATTAAGCACCTACCTTTTGCCAGGCATCATCTTTTATATTACTATTAATTTATGGAAACCATTATAGCAAAACTAAAATTTCAACAAGGCTACACTCTCTGACATTGATGATCATTGTTGAACATTAGCTAATTGATACACTTTGCCAGTGACAACTACATTTTTATATGAAGACTCTCTTTTAAAATATTACAGCTATAAAAATAATAAGTGCATCTGATTTTTAAGAATCATTTTAAATGGCATTTCTAAATTAAGCATTAAGGTGGTAGAAGTCTTTAAGGCATGTAAATTGGATATGCTTGAAAATGTACTTACTATGCATTTAAACCAAGTACTCCTGAAATCAAGAGCAACCAAGTAACATAAAAAATGTTTCAAATTAAACAGATCATTATTACATCTGGGATTATGAAAGCTTTACTTCATATTGGACACTCAACATTTTAAATATCTCCTTATGATCAAGGTCCATTTCATAAACAAAACATTCAGTTATTTACATGAAAATTAGGAGTAAGACATCATTAGAAACAAGGATTATAATGCTGCCTTGTATTGTTTCAGATTAGCTACATTTAATTGATTCCTTTATGAATTATATAGGCTAAGGTTGAAGGAAAGAAAGCTAATATTTTTTTTTAAATCTTGCAATTTGAGCTGTTGCATATCTAAAGGCACATGCTCTGAGAATTAACTGAAACAAAAAAAAAATCAAGATAGATAATCTAGAGTCAGTTTCCTTTCTTATCAGTTCTGGCCAACATAAGTAATACAATTCATAGAAAACATATTATTTTCTTTTCACTGTCATGTGATACATATTTTTAGAAATATCATAGAGTTATTTTCAAGGGTGAATGATTCTTACAGTTGACATTTTATTTCCTGGACAGGGATATGTTGGTTAAAATGCAAACATAAGAATTGTTGGATTAGGTCAGACTCATGGTTTACAGAGCCTGGTGGTCTTCCTTTGACAGTGGCCCTCCCTCCATCAAACTTAATATGAGGGTACAGCTGTCCTCTGAATCCTCACTGTGAATGTCAATATGCTATCTTTGAATCCATGTGGATGACTCTCATAACTGTAACTCCAAACTGCCAGTTGTGGAATTCTAATTAATGACTCTTAGTTACCTTAAATCTATCTAATTTTTTTCACAGAGACTGACTTTCCAATTTCCATAGAAATTCAGTGTTTATAATAATTTGTTGTAATGTACATTATCGTTTCGACATTCTGTAGAAATCAAGCCTCAACTCATGGTGTGATATTTAGTTTCAATCAATTGAAGAAGGATTTCCACTTTCAGCCATGATGAAATAACTGTGTCTAAATTTAACCCTCCTGATTCAAATAACTAGGAAACCAAGCAAATATAGATGAAGCAACTGTTTTTTGACATTCAACCACAGGCAGTGGACAGCCATTATATCTGAGAGTTAAGAGAAAAAGGAAGTAAAACCTAGGACAGCTTCAGCTTTCTGATTGAAAAAAATATTTCAGGTCATAGAACTGTAGAGAGAGGGTGGGAAGGAGGTATTATGAGCAGAGACAGTGACCTTAATGAGTGGAGGAGAGAGTGACAGAGATCAGAGCACCTGAGGAGGCTGGAATTTGAGACACAGATTTCTTGGGACAAGAGTTGTGCAGAAAAAGAACTTAGAAATCTGCTTAGGGGTCTTTTGAACCTATGCTGATTTTTAATACATGGGCGCAAAGGGTAAAATTTCATGAGGTTGGGTAAAAAGTTATTGGAAAGCTGTGGACCGAATGGTTCCAAGACCTACAAAGGACTGAGGATTATTGAAGTTCCTACCAGCAAGACTAGAGAATCCAAATTGATTCCCTGGAGAATTGAATTTAGACATCAGAAGGGCCAAGTCTTAGTAATGGGGATTAATGAACCCTTGAGTTAAAGGTATTCTGGGACCACCCTATCAAAACCTGAAAACAAGTCTTAAGATGATCAAACTAAACCAAAATTGACTCAAATGCCTATCAGAGAAAAGCATAACACTTAAAAAAAAAAAAGCAATAGAACTCAGACGTGGAACAACATATAATACACTATCTTCACCATCCAATCAAAAACTCTTAGAGATCTTAGGAATTAGAAAAATATGATCCATGACTAGGAGAGAAATAAAGATATAAAAATGAATCCGATGGAACTTTTAAAGATGAAAACTATAGACTGGATGGATGTTACAGGTGATTAAGACTACAGAAGAATAGATTTGTGAATTTGAAGTTGCAGAAATAGAGAATATCTGAAATGTATAGAGATACAATACTGAAAAAATATACAGAGCCTCAGTGAACAATTTGACAGTATCAAGATATTTAACATATATAAAATATATGTGTGTGCGTATATATGTACAGAGAGAGTGTGTATGTATCACAAAGAAGCTAACAGAAAAAATATCCAAAAAATGGTTAAAATCTTCCGAATTTGGTAAAAATGATAATCCTATCGATCCAAGAATCTCAATGAACCCCATTAGATTAAACACATAGAAAATCACACAGGACAAATCATATTCAAATTACTAAAAACCAGCGATAAAGAGAAAAAGCAGAGAGCTAGCAAGCATTGGAAAAAATGCTACCATTTTGACAAAAAAAAGGGTTAGAACAGTCAAAGAAATACTACAAATAAAAAAAATGACAAGGGAAAAATGAATTTTTCAGTGCAAACTGTTTCTTTGTTTTTAATTTAGAAGTTTGGATGGAGTTAGTATAAAGTGTCTATCTATGAAAGCTGCTGCAAAATAAAAGATAAACTGTAAACTACTGTTGCCCCATAGAATTTCCTGTGATGAAAATATTCTATATTTGCATTAACCGAAGAGGCGATCAACAGGCACATGTGATTTCTGAGCACTTGAAATGTGGCTAGTGTGAGTGAGAACCTGAATTTTTAATATACTTAATTAAAATTAGGCCAAAAAAGCTACAGGGCTCTGGCCTTCTAAGTATAGAAGGTAAAAGTAAATCAGAAATAATTTAGCTATTTGTGTTTCATTCCTACCTAGAGAATGGGTATGCTTTTGGTTCTGAAAACTTAAGAAAAATATGATAGTGTTAACTATATTTCAGAAGAATAATAAATAAAAAGTTCAAGTAGCTGCCGTATGAGAACTAAAGTAAAAAAACATAGTTTTTCATTCTAAAAATATCAGACTGAGATGATGAATGTTATTTAAAATCATAAAGAATGTGATTGGAATACGTAAAGTCTCTTAATTTGTATTTGAGGAAGATTTCAACCTTTGAATCCAAATAAGATGCATTGATTTTGAATTAAAGGCAGCTCTAAAATATACTTTGAGAAAATATTTTTGGAGCAGACAAATTTAACATACAGTTAATTCTAACTGTCTTCTGACCTAGTGGTCTTGAGTTTTCAATCTAAAAGTTGTAGTCACTCAGACACTCATACTTAATAAAGAATGAACAAAAAAAACAACAAATACCCAGGCATTTAGGAGTCCACCAACAATATTAATGCATATTATTTTCAAAAAGATGAAAGAGTTGCAAAATGAATAAAGAATATATTTTACCTTAAAAGTTTTCATCTTCTAAAATCTAGAGCTATTACTCAAATAAGTACTATCATATAAAATACAACATGACAAACGGTGCAAGATAGATGAAGTAAAGTCATTTCTGGAAAAGATAGAGAGACTATATCCAGTTGAGAAGATCAGAGAAAACTTCTTGAGTAGATGATATTTGAAATAATCATTAAAGGGATTGAGTTGGGAATACAGTTAATTTCTCAGCATGGTCAAAAGGACAGTTGTTTTATAACTTTTTAAACTTTATCTACGTGTACTTTTAAATTAAACAGTTTAGTATGAAATTACATATGTTCATAAGTAGAAAAAGGGAAAAACTGAGCTGGAACAAACATATATAAGCATCTCTTCTTGGACAAAATAAACCAAAAGAATGCCAAGAAAATTATGAATTTATTTATCAGAAAACCACCCACAATTTAGAAAGATATAAATTATATCCACCATAGCAGTTACAATCCTTCAACAGATTTAAGAAAAACTATTTCTTAAAAACTAAAATACTATTTCTAAAACTATTCTCTAAAGCATCTTCTGAAGTCCATTTTGCCATGGAGAAATCACCATCGTATATTTGGTGATCTCTCTGCTATTCGTAAAGATAAATATCCTCATTATCTTGAAGATTCAATTCTTAAGCCTTAAACTACTTTCTGAAATAAACTAACATGTAGCTTTTTAAAAGTAAAGATCTGATGGAATATATAAATATGAAGAGTAACACATTCATATAAAGGAAAAAAATATAATCCTGACCTGAAGACATTTACAGTTAAATTTTTGTTGTATTTTTCTTTATCATTTTTTCTAGTACCTAAAAAGAGGTATACATTATAATAGAAACAAGTTATAATATCATAATCTATATATCAAGTATCATTATATATTATTTGAATACCCATTTAATTATGCAGTTAAATAGTTATAATGGCTATAACTTAATTAAGTGCACACTAATAATGTTAAAACTATCATTTTCTTTGTTGTTTTGATGGACATTTTAGCTTGTTTCCAATTTTCCCAAGTCACAAAAATATCTGAGACAGACACTGACACATTTAGTAAGCATAAATTCCCAGTACAGGACTGAAATTCCTAGTGAAACAGGATGGGCTCCTGGGAAAAGCTCTTTTTCTAGCTTGCAGATAGCCGTGTTATCACTGTGTTCTTACCAGAAAGAGAGACAGCCAGCTCTGGTCTCGCTTCCTCATCTTATAAAGGCACAAATCTCATTATGAGGCCCTCACACGCATGACCTTATGGAAACCAAATTAACTCCCAAAGGCCCCAAATACCATCACATTGAGGGTTAGGGCTTCAAAATATAAATGGGCAAAGGACTTGAACAGAAACTTTTCTAAAGAAGACAGAAGAATGGCCAACAAACATATGAAAAAATGCTCAACATCTCTAATCATCAGAGAAATGCAAATCAAAACCACATTGGGATATCACTTAACTCCAGTGAGAATGGCCTTTATCAAAAAGACCCCGAACAACAAATGCTGGCGTGGATGAGGAGAGAGAGGAAGACTCCTACACTGCTGGTGGGACTGCAAACTAGTTCAACCTCTGTGGAAAGCAATTTGGAGATACCTTAAAGCGATACAAGTGAATCTACCATTTGATCCAGCAATCCCATTGCTGGGCATCTACCCAAAAGATCCAATGACACTCTACAAAAAAGACACCTGCACTCAAATGTTTATAGCAGCACAATTCATAATTGCAAGGCTGTGGAAGCAGCCCAAATGCCCATCAATCCAAGAATGGATTAATAAAAAGTGGTATATGTATACCATGGAGTACTATTCAGCTCTAAGAAACAACGGTGATATAGCACATCTTATATTTTCCTGGTTAGAGCTGGAACCCATACTACTAAGTGAAGTATCCCAAGAATGGAAAAACAAGAACCACATATACTCACCAGCAAACAGGTATTAAATGAGCAGCACCTAAGTGGACACATAGGTACTACAGTAATAGGGTATTGGGCAGGGGAGCAGGGGAGGTATATACCTACATAATGAGTGAGATGTGCACCATCTAGGGGATGGTCATGCTGGAGACTCAGACTTGTTGGGGGAGGAGGGAAAGGGCATTTATTGAAACCTTAAAATCTGTACCCCCATCATATGCCGAAATAAAAAAATATATATATATATAAATTCAGAAAGGACACAATTCAGTCAACAAAAGTTCACATTGTGCAACAGTAAGGACTCATTTGTGGTTTCAGAGTTTTGGGGAAATAGAACAAGCTTCCTGTAAGTCGTTAGTGACATTGTGATTGGTGTTATAGTCATTCTATCAAGGATCGTGTAAACAATGTCTATGTATCCAATCACTAAATTTGATCAGAATATTCCAATGAAATTTCTACAAAGAAAAAAAAAATATCTACTTTAAAAACAAAAGGACTCAAACAGATAAAACCATATGGCAGTGTAACTCAGAAGTATTCAAGATATTATCCTAAAATATACTCATGTTCTGTGAAATGTGACCAAATTGATATAATTTCAGGAAATTTAGGGTATGTGATATCCTGGAAAAGCTTTTTCCTCTGCAAAATGGACCTTTAGTCACACATGTTGTCTAACTATAATGACTGCAATTATGCTTCCATAATAATTTTCCTCTGGTCGACATGACCTAGTAAGATTGCTTTGAGTTATATAGAAAAGTCAAACCAACCATAATTAGACTCTTTTTACTTAACTGGAAGAAATAGGTTAATCAGGGTCAGTACCCACTTGTGATGTAAGCGTCTTAGAAAATGGAACAATTAAGAAACAAGCTTCTTTGGAGTCATTGGAGATGCTGGTGTCATATCTACTTTATGAAGGAGAGGGCACCAAAGACAGGTACAACCCTATGTCACTGACTGCTATTTGAACCAATATTTGGCAGAAGGCCAGGGACCATGAGGCTCCATTATCTTGTTCTGTGACTGGTCAACAGCATCCTGTGGAAACCAAAACCTAATTGAAAATACCCCTTACTGGGCTGGGACTGGGCAGTCAGAATAAAGTGGGGCAGAAGTAATCAGAGTCACCTTCATTCTTTGTTCACGTCACCCTTCTTTTTTTAATGTCTGTTGTAGATATTGCTAAAAGGATATCTTATTTAGGAGATTTTGAATCATAAAAGACTGTCTACAGATCATTAAAACTATCTTAACAACAGTTCTGCAACAGTTAGTTTATATTTAATAAGCACAAAGCACTGGAATAGCTCCCATTGACCAAACTGATTACTGAAAGGGTTTCATTTTCCCCCTTGTTTTCTCTAGGATCTGGAGTATTTCCAAATAGTGTTCCAAGTTACTTATGGAAGACACCAAGCACTAAAATGCCTAAAGATTCTACATTGAGAGGGTTCTTTACCACCATAACTCTTCATGTCATGTTGAGGGGAACAGCCAGAAACTGCTAAGATTTACTTTGTGATTTATATTAAGAGTGCCAGATAAAGTATTTTGAGAATGTCCAGAAACTGTTCTTCTATT